AAGGGTGATGATACTCCAATCAAGGAAACTGTTGCTTGCTGCCCAAAATACAGTCTTAATGGCCTTGAGGTTGAGAATGTGATGAGCACTTTTTCTTTCTCCCAATACCATGGGTGGCCATATGGTTGTGCAATAAAGTTAAGGCTGTTTGTCAGAACTTTTGCGAAGGCTTGATTATTCCTACTTCTAAAAGAATGTTCTCCTATTAAGATGATGCATGAAGGATCCAAAAGTGATCCCAATCCAGCTTACAAAAAAGTTTTGTTACAGCAGTCTTATGAAGAGCCCTCTTATTTCCTGAGTAGCCCCATTTGAAGTATTAAGGCTGAGCCACTAGAATGACTCAACAGAGAGGGGATTATCTGGAGTTAAGGGGAAAATGAGGTGAGGAGAAAGTTGTTTCTTTTTTTGGTAAGTTTGTTGTAGAGGTCTACTATGGATCCTAGTGATGGAGAGCAGCATTCAGTGAGGATGCCATGGGGTATAGTCATGTAGTGCTGAATCTTGGCAATGGTCTGACCTGACTAGCTAGTTGAGGTAAAGCCTGAACTCTGGGATAAAGCCTTTTTTTTTTTACCTCTGATCAAATAGGAGCCAGTAGCTGAAACAATACAACAAAAATTTATGATGATCAGGGATGTATATCCTCTACATCTTGAGAACTAAGCCCTTCAAATTCCCTCAAGAAGAGGTGGGGGTATTTTGTATAGGAACACTACAATTAAGTGTTTCACATTTCTTATCCACGAAGGCAGACGCCTTTTGTGGGTGACTTCTTGTTTGTGCATCATAAGAAAGGGAGGGTCTGGAAGGCAGTACAGTACAATGGAAAGAGCTCTGAATTTGGGGAAAGAAAACTAGACTCGTATCCTAGCTTTGCCACTAAATATCTGTATGACCTTGGGCAAACCATTTAACCTCTTGAGGTCTCAGTTTTTCCATCAGTAAAATGGAAAGGTTGGATTCCATTACCATTAATGACCCTTTCCAACTCTAAAGCTATGGACCTATGCTCTTAGTTATATGAGATTTTGATGTGGATTTGTGGTCTGATTTATCAATTTCTAGGTTAAAATAGAATGGATTGTTTTCAGTTGGTATGATGAGGTATTCTTATTTTTTGTGCATGATAAACCCTGCCATCTGCAGGGAGGGCTTATCCTAAGTGTGACCTGGTGCTTGCAGGGGCATTAGAAAGAGACACACAGAGCAGCATGAACTATGTTCTGGCCACTCACACAGTCATGGGGATGAGCAGAATCACTTAACTTATGGTCGGTGGGCTTCTGCCATCATTCACATAGATCAGCCCTTGCATATTTATGACAGGCCATGATCACAATCTAGACCACTTCATGTATATACAAATCTTCACCTTACTTGCATTTTTTCATATATAACAATGATTTAAATCGTTTGCCATATAAAGGAAAATTAAACAGATAATAAATATAGAAATAACAAAGCACTTTGGTGTTTCTGGCACAGCTTTAAAACAAATGAAGAGGAATTTCCATAATTAATAGCTTAGAAACAAGATGATACAAACACTTCAATTCTGTTACTTTAGCAAGAACAATTTCTTTCACTCAAGTAGTTTTCCCTTTTTGTTTCTATTATGGATAGAGGAATGAAAGGCAAAGAATACCTAGTTATTTTTATTGTCTACACAGTGAGGCAAAATTAGAAGCATCTTATCTATACCGGCATTTGTGTGTCCTGACAAGCACATTCAGAAGATTTCAAGCCCGAGTAAAGAATGTCACAGCGTTAAACTGAAAAGGGATTTGGAAAAGATAGTGAAAGTGAAGACGTGTGACTCATCTGCCTAGCAAAAACTACCATGTGAATGGCAGGACAAACCAAGTGATATGCTCTCTGTGTTTGAGAATAGAATCTGTTCCTTGGAATAACCAGTAAAAATGATTTTTAAAAAGTTAACATAAAAAAATTTTCATTTTAGTGAATAAATATTTACATATTGTGAATACTAATTTTTCTTATTTTTATATCATACCCTAACACTAAGCCTAATTTTCTTCTTAGATTCAGAAATGTGCAAATCTTATATCCTGAACCCCCTCTCCTCCCCCTCCCCTCACCGTTCCCTACATATTGCCTCAATAACCATCATTTCCAAGTGTTGTTGACAAAGGCATTCTCCTTGCTGGTGAAACATCTTCTATCCTCTAACTGTAATCTTTCTGTGGTTTTCAGAAATTCCTAAATAACTCATAGTTATTGATTTTCCTTTTATTACACAGCAATTGTATTTAGTCCAAATTATTTGAATACCTAAGCATCCTCACAATCTGGTCCCAGTCTTTCCAATCTTTTGTCCCAATGCTTTCCTGTACAAACCCTAAAGCTCCCATCAGATTGATTTACTTACTGTCCCTCAAATATGCCTTGCACATCTCTGACTCTGTACTCTTCCTTACACTATTCCCCCTCCTTGGAATATTCTCCCCTCTCTTCCTCAGATACCTGAATCCTACTCATTCTTCAAGGTCTAGGTGCATGAAGACTAACCTAACTACCCCAGCCCACAATAATCACTCTTTGCTCTGAACCTCCTTATCACTTAATATCTGCACCACTTGGCATTTGTGTAAGGTTTTGGGTTGTTATTTATATATTTATTGTGCATACATCCTGCCTCTTCAGTAAGAGTTATTCAAAATTCAATTAATATTTATAGAGTCATTAGACAACCTTATGCTAGGTGCTGTAGGATGAGTGTAGGGGTTCTGTATTATGCTATTTCGTATTCTCCATAGTACCTAGCACAGTGCCTTGCACACTGAAGACTAATTCAACAAGGATCTGTTAAGGTGCCTGTTATGATTCATAGCAAGGCATATAATATAGATCCCCATTTTGGGCTTGGTAATCTGAAGGATCCATAGGAATTGGGGAGGCCAACTGGGGAGGCTCCCTTATCTCTCCAGTGGGCTATGACAAGTAAGGTTGAGGAAAAGGAAGGAGGAATGTGAGAAGGAAGCTGGAGTGTAGATCAAACCAAGGCCGCATTAGGAAGCAACTCTAGAAGCATTCAGAGAAATGAGGCTAGGGTTTATCTCTATATTCACTTGAGATGGTCTTAGGCTGAACTCTTTTTGTAGGAATATTTGGTTTACTTTTTGTGAATTATGCCACAAATCTATCAAACCCCCTTGATATTTGAATACTTTTCTGTTAGAAGTATCAAGCTTAAACATGTCTTTATTTAAACAAAAGAGAAAAGGATGAGAAATTCCATAAAGAATGAGAAAGAAGAATTCAAGGCAAAAGAGTTCATGACATTTTTTGCCTAGTAAAATTTTCCAAACATTTACTATTCACAAATAAATATATGTGAATAGAGAAAATCAATTAATACCTACACCATACCAGTTTCACTACACTTTTTTTTTAGGTAATTGGGGTTAAGTGACTTGCCCAGGGTCACACAGCTAGTAAGTAGCAAGTGTTTGGTCTCAGGCTGAATTTGAACTCAGGTCCTCCTGACTTCAGGGCTGGTACTCTATCCACTGTGCCACCTAGCTGCCCCTTAACTATACTTTTGAAAACATAAAATGAACACTAACAAACATAGAAAGTGTCCCAACAAAAATTGTATGGTATTCATAAAATACAGGAACCATCACCTTATGGCAGCTATAGAAAAAATTCACGCTTCCTTGACAAAAAGGAGGAAGAGGAATGACAAACATTCTTAAAGGACATGATGAAGAGGTGTGTGAACTAAAGAAATACTTTTGGGACAAGTACACATAATTTCACCAAGCAATAGTCAAGGCTGATAATTGGTACACCCCATGGAATTTATCCATGTAACTAGGAAATGATTCAGATCCAAGAAGGAAATCAAAAGGCCCTTCATGAGCAATATTCACATGAACTCACTCAACAATATGTCAACAAAGACACGTCAAACAATCAGTTGAGTCATGTATATTTGTTTATGGTCCAGAAGGGTTTATGATGGTAACCCAGGACCAGGTCATCACCACCAGTAATTAGAGAAGGTTTGTCTTTAAATGATCAATATAGACTTACTGATCAAAACATATTAGCAAGAAAATGGCAGAAATTTTGCAACATGGCACCATAGGCTGCAAAAAAATAAAACCAATTGAATATCTAGCAAGACATGATCTGGTAGCTAGAGTTACACATCAGAACTCAATAAAATTCATGAACTGATGGATGAGAAATCCTTATACTACGTACATACCTCAAAATATCTGAGGCAACTCAAGTAACAATTTATACTGGAACCAGATGATTATCATGGATTGAGCTGTTACCCATAGTCACCCAGACATAACATTAGTCCATAAAAAGAAACAATTTAAAAACAATGTTTTTAATAGATTCTACTATGCCAAATACTTAAAATCTCCAAGCTTCATGGAACAAAAAAGCTTTTACAATACAGAGATGTGGCAGAGGAGATTAAACATGTGAGAATAAGAGGAAGTAAAAATTATTCTGCTAAATCTCATCTGCTAATGGAGTTGCACCCAAAATACTTTCTGGGAACCTACAGAGGATGAACACATATGTTAATACTTATATTCAAATACAAAAGTAGTTATTTTATCTACCTCTGAAATAGTCCATATAAGATTAACATATAAAAGAAAAACAGCAGGATAGCAATTTGTTCCAGTACTGTTTCTATCTGAAACCCATTGACAAAATGAGAAATAAGATGATAACAATAACTGGCATTCATATACCACTTTAGGGTTATAACATGCTTTGTATACACTATTTCTTTTGGTCTTCACGAGAACTTGGAGATGTAAGTACTAGAGATTTTATTATTTCCATTTTACATTTGAGGAAACTGAGGGCCAGTGAAATTAAGTGACTTTTTCAAAATTCACAGGATGGTGTCAGAAGTGAGACTAGAGCTTGGGTCTCTCCTAACTCCGAATTCAGTTCTCTTTTTACTACACCAACTGCCTATCTTTGAAAATGTTTCTTACCTGGCTTGCAAGTGTCTGTCCAATCACTGCTTCATATGGAGGAGGGAGTTCTGTTGGATAAAGCATCCCAGGACTGTTGATGGCAACCTCATACAAAGTACTGAATGGAGAATTAGGAAATTCCAAGTGAAGTCCTCTGAAAAGAGAGAAAGGACACTTTATTATAATCCCTTAGCTTAGCAAGAAAACTAATTAAGTTTCTCTATTATAGCTAAGCAAACAGAATGTGTAATAAATCTTGTGAAAAGTTTTCCTCACCATATACGTGTCATGAAAATGAACTGAAATCCTAATTCATTGGAATTTCAGTTTAATTTTTTTTTCTGGGAGGACACATCAACTATTTAACCAACTTCACAACACCACCTTTAAATTAAATTAATTATACAGATAATTAAAATTTTAATTCAACTTTTGTGTGTTAGATTAATGACTGTAATTTAATAGAAGCTTAAGTTTTATGTTCCATTATGACATAAAAGAGTTGCTTTTGTCTTGCCAGAATTCTTTTTTATTACTGCATTGTAACAATACTAATAATGCGTATTCTAGATCTAAGCTGTCACTTTTTTCACAACCTATTCTCTAGTCTCTTATCAAACTCTCCTTCTTACCTTTGTTATTCTCTAGTCAACTTGTTCACTGAAAGTGAGAATGGTTTCAACTTCTCATAACAAACCCAGCCCAACTATGGCTTCCTGATCTATGTAACTACAGCATGTAATCACAGGCATATAAAAGAAAAGATGAACCTTTGAGCTTCTATCATGGGTGTACAGGTATACTCTGGTGGGTAATAGGGTGGGGGAGGTATTGGAGGTATGAATTCATCAAAATCCAAGGTCTGGTGGAGAATGGTTCCATGGGGAGTCATACAGTCTGGGTTTGTGGAATGTGATCTCTGTGGAAGAAACTGAAAAATAAAGTTGAATCAGATTTATTTGTGCAGAACTACCAGTACATCTCATGCTGTGTGTGTCTAACTTAATTATATATGAGCTTTAATTATAAATTTAAAGTATATGTAATTTAAACTGTCAAGCAAGGAATGTTAAACACATACTTAAGAAAGAAAAGTTTTCCTTGAGTAATGGTTTACTCTAGACATACTATTATAGTTGCCTTTCAAATACTGATATGCTGAATTTTAGTGCTTTTGTTTGTTTGTTTAAGAAAAATAAGATTGCAGAACTCTTTATATCTCTCCTCATACCAAACCCTGATGGACAATGTTTGTTTGGTAAATTCCCTGGTTCCAAAACAGTGCTGGTACTTGCAGATTTGAGGGGAAAATAAGTAGTCTTTATGAATTCTCTTAATGATATATTGTGGAATGATCTCAATAACTCAGGTTGTTTGACTTGCTTAATAAAAGGATAAATGATTCCATTGTATTTCTTCTTTGAATAGATGTGCATCCTAGACTTCTCATGAAAATCTTCCCATCATGCTTCTGGAAGTAGCTGCTTGTTGTTTCCATATATTAGGTTACTTCATGTGACTACTCAAGATGTTATTTTATGCATTCATTTGACAAACATTCATTGGGTTGTTCAATGTATTGTGCTAGGACCGGAGAAGATATGAAGCTAAACAAAACATGGTCTGTAGCCTCAAAGAGTTTATAATATAGTAGTAAATAATAATAGTTCATTATAATTTTTAAACGGACATTTTGTTTTGACATTATAGATATTTTCCAACCATACTAGTATTTCTACAGAGTTGTTGCTCAGTCATTATCAGTCATGTCTGACTCTTTGTGACCCCATTTGGGGTTTCTTAGCAAAGATACTGAAGTGGTTTGCTATTTCCTTCTCTAGCTCATTTTACAGATGAGGAAACTGAGGCAAATAAGGTTAAGCGACTTGCCCAGGGTCACCAGCTAGTAATTGTCTGAGACCACATTTAAATTCAGGAAGATAAGTCTTCCTGACTCCAGGCTCAGTACTCTATCCACTATGCCACCTAGCTGCCCTACAAAGTACATTATGTAAAAAATTAATTTAGTGATTTAACTTTGACAAGATATATCTAACAGCGACTTATGAATTTGATGAATTTTGTTGCCTTTCAGTGTTACCTTTATTTAAATTGTAATTGTAAAATTTATTGTTTTTTGGCTTAGCTCCTTTACTCTGAATCACTTCATCTAAGCCCCTTCATATTTCTCTGATTTCTTCATATTCATTTTTCCTTCAGGTACCATCATTTTTCAGCTACCCCTCCAAATAGTAGGCACATGTATAGTTTCTAACTTATTTCCATGAACAATGATATTTACATTTTGGCACATATTAGTCTTTCCTTATTGTTAAGAGTTTCCTTAGGCTATCATTCTAGTAGTGGAATCTCTGAGTTCACGAATATAATCTATTTTTCTAAGCTACTTACGTTACATTTAGATGTGTATCATTTGTTCACGTTTCCTTTATTGATTACTATTTTATTTCATTATAGTCTGTAAGAATATATTAACTATTCCTGCTTTTCTACATTTATTTATAGATTTTCATGCTCTAGCACGTGGGTTTTGTAAAGGATGCGGAAAAGTAAGTATGCCCTTTAATGTTTCTATTTAATAATTACCATAGGTTTAGAAAATCTATTCCACTTTGATAATTTCCTTCTTATTTGCCTTCTGTTAGACTATCAAGTTCTAAAAGAGGAATGTTGAAATTACAGCTTTTTTACTATAAAAGTAATTCTGTCTTTAAATTAGCTTTTTCTTTACTTACTCTTAGATGCTATACCATTGTGTGTGTGTGTGTGTGTGTGAACACACACCTGTATAATCAATACTGATATTATATTTTCAATGATACTTTAAAACATAATGTATTTTCCTTGTTTGTTTCTCAAAAGTATTTTTACTAGTTGAAAAAATCTGAAGTTGTGATTAAAAATCATGTTCTGGATTTGTGTGAAGCATTACAAATATTAATACAGCCTCCCACTTTAACATTATATGCATTTTTGTATTTTAAGAGATAGGGAACCTGCTACAGTGGAAATAGTACCCAATTTTGAGTCTTGAGTTTAGCACTGTCAGACCTGATTTTTTGAACCTCAGCTAGGTGCTAACTGCCTGTGTAACCTTAGGCAGTTTGCTAATCTGTAAAATGAGGGGATTTAATGAGAAGACCTACAAGACCTCTCCAGCTCTGAATCTATGTATTTATTTTATACAGCAAATTTCTAGATTTTGTAACAACTGAATAACAACAACATGTATATGTATACATTTTAGTACTAACAATTACTCATTATCTAAATGGGGATTATATGTGAAAAAAAGGTAGGAAAACTCACTGGAAATCATTGCATTTTTGGAATTCTGCTCTTTGTTTCTCTCTGCCTCTCTCTTTCTTTGCACTATATACGAATTATTAAGGTCTAACCAGTATAAAATGTTGATATTTTGCTCCCAGTATTACTAGATGTAGATCAAGGGAATGTTGTAAATGTTGTTAATCTAGAATTTAGCAAAGCTTTGGACAAAATCTCTCATGCTATTCTTGTGGAAAAGATACAAAGACACAGGCTAGATGGCTATTCAGTTAAATGGCTTTGGGACAGGTTGAATGGCCTAGTCCAAAGAGTGGTCAAGTAACTGTTTGAACAAAGTCTCCAGTAGAGTGCCTCAGGAACTCAAGTTTGACTCGGTGCAGTTCAATATGTTTTATCAAGGATTTCTATAAAGGTATGGATGGCTTGCACATCAAATGTACAGATAACAAAGATAGGAGGGATAACTAAAACAATGGGTAACAGATTCAGAATATTTAAAAATGCCTTTATAGGCTAACATTGTCTGAATCGTCTAACAAAAATTTAATAGAGATATATGTGAAATTTTACACTTGGAGGAGACAAGGCTAGAGAGTAGTTCTCCTGAAAAAGATGTGGGGTTTTTGGCAAACTACAGCCTGAATATGAGTTAACCTTGGGATATGGCAACCTGTACGGCTTTCAATTTTGAAAAATTCATTTATTAATGGCCTATTATTTGCCACATACTATGTGAGGATCTAGAAATGTAAAGTAAAAAGAGAAACAATCTAAGCCCATAAGGAACTTAGATTTTAACAGTAAGACACAACACATGCATATATGAGATACACATGTAAGTGTGGGGTTCTATGCCAACAGTAGTTAATTAATAGATATGAAGTTTTAAATGTATAAAAAAGATGCTTTATGCTCTCTTGTCTCTTTGTGAGATGTGCATTTTCTTTGAATTGTCCAAAAAAGAAAGCAATGTGATTGGCTGGTATGATCTGTCACACCCACTGGGCCTTTGCACAAAGTAACAGACTACTGATGAATTCAGAAAAGCAGGGACCGGCCAGTAGTGAAAGACTCCAGATTCAGACCCATGAGAAGGAATTATTCCTAGGGAAAGCAGGGAATTTCATTCAACCTCTGTTCCTTCCAAAGTGAATATGTTATCAGAGAGAATGGAGAATGCTTTAGAGGACATCCTGAAAACAAACACAGACAGAAATGCAGTAAGAGAGACAGACACCCAAGTAATGAAATAGATTCAAGGAGTGTGACCTGTTGTATCATCAAAGAATACCAGATATGTTCTCAAATACAGGTATCTAGTAACTAGGAGTTGTAGGTTTACCTTTTGGCCACACATGCTCTCTACATGTATGCCTCATTACCACCATGCATTGGGTTTAAGCCACTCACTCTTCCCCTGGACTTTGTGTATTTGTGAGGAGTATACCCGAGACCTTTGAGAGATGTTTTATACCAACTATTCTTAGTATACGACCTTATTAAAGACTTTTGCTAAATGCTAGTTGAGGCTGTTAACTATTATCAATGGTGAGCATATTGGTGGGGGCTGGCAGATGAAAGCCAAAGAAACATGTACCCTTAGGGTTCCCTGAATAGTAGTTGCCCTCTGGGGACTCATCCTGCCAGAAGCTACCTGGAGCTGGTGATGTAGGCCAAGGAGGGATGCTGTATGTATACAAAATAAATGCAAAGTTATAATGGTGAGTGGGCAGTTAGCTGGTGAGGAGGGAGAAACCAAGGAAAGCCTCATGTAAAAGGTGTTGGCACTTGAGTAAGAAGATTTGGGAAAGAAAATCAAGGCTTTCAAGAGGCAGAGGTAAGGATGGACGTCCAGGTGTGCTGGACTTTCAGTCCGAAGGCCCAAAGACAAAAGATGGGGTATTGTGCATGAGGAAAGAGTTTATTTTGCTTGGTGTTTGTTGAGTTTAGAATAAGAATCAAATGTATGTAGAATGATTTGCAAACCCTAAAAGCATCATATACACACACATACAAAAATGAAGCACACTGGTGTACTTAGTACGTACACAGGATCACAGACTAGAGCTGGAGGGGACCTCAGAAACCATCTTGTTCAGCCCTTTCATTTTGTAAATGTTAAGTGACTTGCCCAGGGTCCCATCAGGAGATATATCTGAATTCAGGTCCTGTGATTCGAGTCAATCTTTTCCCTACTGTACCATACTGCCAACGGTGTTATACCATGGAATAACTTTAAAGCATGCCTGTGTGATAATATGTGAATGTATGTACAATGGAGAATAAGCATGTAAAGACTTACATGGGATGGCATGAGTGAAAATGAAAACAGAGATGAACATTTATATGGAACAGGAAAAAAAGGAAACCACTATTCTGCCCATGATAGACAAAACCCTCCCTTGGGAAGGTTTTGATTTTTTTGTACTCTTTCTATGGATAGATAGATAGATAGAAAGATATAGATACATACAAAATATATTTCTATATTAGAACAACATTATATACAACTATAGATATGTAATTTGTTACAAGAAAGGGCTTTTATTGAGTGAGGAGTGGGATAGAGGCTTAGTAGATAGTGATAGTTATGAAAAAAAAGGAACCAACAAAACAGTTTCT